ATCAGGCTGAGTCTCCTCTTGATGTTTCATGTTTCAACATGAAACATATTATTTGACAACTCTAGAAGAAGCAATAATTAGTCAGAGCACTTGTTAAATTCGACTTCAGTACCTCCATCACTCAGTAGAGTGTTGTCAGCAGTGATGGCTCAAATGTGTTTTAATTGATGAGGAATCAGCGCGGTTTCTTTTCCAGAAAATGAGTGCTAAATGGTGTCTTGGTGGGGATAATGTTTATCTCTTTTTTTTTGGAAGGGGGGGTAATTAGGTTTATTTATTTATTCTTTTAATTAATTAATTAATTAATTATTCTAGTGGAGGTACTGGGGATTGAACCCAGGACCTTGTGCATGCTAAGCACAGACTACCACTGAGCTACACCCTCTCCTGGTTTCTCTTTTAAAAGGAAGTCAGCAAGGGGAGGAGGTAGCATTTATTAAATCAATAAACACTTAATTGACTCCTAACTGTGTAATTTTTTTGTTTGTTCCTTTTTGAGTGCGGAGGCTGTTAAAAAATGAGCAAAACCAGTCACTGCCTCAAAGGACTTACAGAGCTCCGTGGAGGATGAGAGAAGTAGTCGATACAAACCAATGCAAGAAGCGCCCTGGTGCCTCACTTGCAATCACGTACACTTCTATGCTGCTTCTCAACTGTCAGCGTCAGACCTTAGATGATTTATTAATCCATCCAGTGTCTAAGCTGAACTGAAGTTCTCTATATAAAAATTAGTGTTTTCAACCTGTACTCACTAAAGGGAAGTCTTTTTTCAGCAGTAATGATTATTCCTATCAATATGTGGTATGGTTACATGTCATGCAAGTTAAATTATGGGAATCTAAAATATTGCAACATGGAAATATTAACACATGTACTTTATGAAGTAAATTTGAAATCATATGAATCCTTCCCAATGAAGCATTTGCCTAGAATGGCAAAATTTCAACGTCATTTGGTCAAATGACTTATAAACTGGGTTTTCCCTGTTGCCAGAGGCAGTATCATGTTAGCTGGGTGACAGAAATGCCGGGCAATTACGGTCAGGAAACGTGTGGCTTTGATTTACGTGAAGTCATCAGAAATGCATTCCTCACACAAAGTGTGACTTCCACTGCTGTGATAACTAGGCCCACGGTCTTCTTTCCAAGGGGACGTACCTCTGTGCGTAGAATGCTTCCCTTCCTTTCCTTATCATCCCCTTTCATTGACTTGGGTAATGGGCAAAAACTCCTTTTCATATTTTAAGACTCAGTTCAAAGGCAGATCTTTCCAAAGCCTTCCATAATATCCTCTCCAGTCAGCCCTCCTTCATTTTTTTCTTTCTTTAGGTTCCTTGGACAAATGGACATACTGAAAAAAAAACTGTTTTGTAGTTTCTCGAACATACCTATTCACTACTGTGAAGGCAAGTCCTATGTCTTGGGTTACGACAAGGCAAAGGTGCAAAACACAGAACTCAGGGCAGAGCAGAAACTCAATGAGATGTTTTGAAAATAAATTCCTACATTTAACAAATTTGTATGGGCTGCCTAATCAATGTATCAGCCACCATGAAATGCGCAAGGACAGGCAGTGAGAAACAGGACAGATGTGGTCTTGCCCAAACTTCCAGTTTAAGCAAGGAGACAGACACTTGAATAAATAATTGAAATATGGTGATGAGGGAAGGATAAAATAGGAATGAGAAGCATGAGGTTCTCTTGGGAATTAGGGAGTTAATCCCTAGCACCACATTATTTAAATAGGAGCTAATTACAAGGAGATGTGTTTTCCCCAAGCAGCAAAGTCAAGTTTTCTGCCTATAAGCTACTGAGAAAGACTCAGATGTCAGAATACCTGTTACAGGTGTTCCTCAGGGAAAGAGTATAACTGTAATTGAATGGATGATATATCATAATATGTAATAAAGTAGTAGATTTCTATTTCCAGTGTATGGCCTGAAAACAAATGGGGAAGCCTTTGATGCAGGATGAGAGAGAACCACAAGCAAAAGCAGACCCACATGCCTTTTCTGCATCATTTCTCTATGTGGTGCTGTGTTTGGCTTTATCCTCCTCCCCACCTTGCACTATGATTGAACTTTCAAACTTGAGTTGTTTCCTTGAAAGTGAATAACAGAAGAACAGCAATTAAAATGATTCACTGCCTGGAGGTGAAATTAAATTTAGAAGAATATCACTTCATGATCTGTTCATAAATTTCAGACCTCATAATTTCAATGAAATATACTAAATCTCCCATCTACTAACATACAGTATATGCTACAATTACTTACAGCAATATAATTGGAAAAAGACCCAATATGTACCATCATCCACAAATCAAAGGCTCAGTTAATTTAGAAGGGCATAAGAAAAGCACTAATATTAATTTGGTTCTAGTGCCATGTCACTGGAATGCCAAGGTCATGGGTACCAGGTTCACTGGTACTGACCTCTGCAGACACTTGTCATGGTGTGCTGGGGAAACTGAAACAGAATGACAAACCCAGCCTGCATAGGGACAGGTCCACAAGGGACTGGTAGGCTGTTACACCACTGATTGGAATTTAAAAACATTATCATCAAGGGCTTCTTAAGTCCCATTGCTCCACATCTACACCTCTCTTCAGTGAACTTTACATTATATTTATGTACTTATTTTCCACATCAACTGTCTTCACCACTAATAAATATATCCCCTGTCTAGCACAATGGCAGCCACATAGTGTAAATTCTGTAAATGTTAGGTGAATAAGTAATTCAACTCAACTTGGTCAGCAAATATGCGCTGGGGACCCCATGTTTTAGGTACTGAGGATACAGCAATAAATAAAATACTCAAAGTCCCAGTTCTTAAGGAGCTTACATTCTAATGGGGAAGAGACAGACAGTGGGCACTGAAAAAATGGAACATGCTAAACATGTTAATTAATTAGAAAACATGTAGCACACTAACTATAGAAAAAGAGAAAAGTGAGGTAAGGAGAAAGGAAGTGTGGATAGTGGAGGGGGAAACAGCGTTGCTGTTTTACATAGGATGGCCAGGGAAAGTCTCTGATAAATTTGCTGAAGAATTATGAAGGAAGTGAGGGGGAATGTCACTCAGATGGCTGGGAGATTACACTAAGATGTAAGGAGCAACTAATGCAAAGACCTTAAGATGCAGCTGGGGTGGGGCTGATGAAAGAGAAACAGCCACAAAGCCAGCGTGGCTAGAAGGGTGTGAATAAGGACGAGAGGGATGGAGACAAGATCAGAGAGGTGGCAACTGGGATGGAGTAGGTGGTCGTGAAGGACAGATCACATAGTTTTATAGACCATCATAAAGCATTTGGTTTTGACTTTGAACAAGTTAGGAAGATTTTGAAATGAAGAGTGGCATATACATTGAGCATAGATTTTAGTGGGGAGCAAAAGTGGAAGTGCCCCTACTACCAATTAAAGCTCTCTGAATAAATGAATGGAATGAATGAATGAAAACCAATTAGTAAGTGGGCAAAAAAGAATTCTTTCTTGTGTGATTCCCAGTATTTTTCACTCCAGTTTAGACATCTCTCTACACTATTGAAAACCTTTTTTTTTAGGATGTGTTTCTACCTGCAATTCAGGTCAGCCTGAGCTTTCTAAGGTATAGGTCAGTCACTAATAGTCTTTAGAACTGGTTGATACAAAGCCATGCAAATTCTTTACTCAAAGAGTCTACAGAACATGTATGTATGTATGTAAAGTATACGTACAACCAACTCAAGATGCTTACTTGCCCCATCAGTTCAAACACACACTCTGTATGAGGAGCTTTTCATTTCTATGGTTGTGTTCAAATGACCTTCCTGCTTTGAAGATGAAGAAGACATGGGAGAAACCAGAGTGCTATAGACTGAATGTTTATGTTCTCCTCAATTTTTTATATTTAAACCTACTCTCTAACGTGATGGTATTTAGGGTGGGGCCGTTGGGTGGTGATTAGGTCACCAGGGTGGGGCCCTCATGAATGAGATTAGTGCTTTTATAAAAGAGACCCACAAAGCTCCTTAGTCCCATCCACCATGTAAGGTTCCTATGAACCAGGAAGCTGGCTCTCATCAGATGCCAAATCCTCCAGGGCCTTGACTTTGGACTTTCCAGCCTCCAGAACATTGAGAAATAAATTCCTGTTATTTATAAGCCACCCAGTATTTGATTTTCTGTTATAGCAGCCCAAGTGAACTTAGACGCCAGAATCCCCAGTGTTTGTTTCTCTATAAAACTCTGAATCCAGAGTAAAGCCTAAATGTTATTTTAAAAGATACGACAAATGGCGTTATGTTGTCGGTTTTTATGGCTGAGTAGTATTCCACTGTATAAATATACCACATCTTCTTTATCCAATCATCCATTGATGGACATTTAGGCTGTTTCCATGTCTTGGTTATTGCAAATAGTGCTGCTCTGAACATTGGGGTGTGGGTGTCTTTTTGAAGTAGGGTTCCTTCTGTATAACTGAAAAACTGCTCTACACCGGAATTTGACACAACATTGTAAAATGACTACAACTCAATAAAAAAAGAAAAAAGAAAGAAAAAAAAGGATATGACATTTAGGGAGGTTGATAGACCCCAGTGGCTAGGAAGAAGCAGAGTTACTAGTTGTATTAGTTTCCCAGATCAAATTGTTAGACTTAGACTTAAAAAAGCTAGTGTTTCTGAAGTGTAAAGAGGATTAACAATTAGTCACATAGGTTGTCACTTAAAATAGAAAGACCCATGTTCTAACCCCCCCGACTGTCGCTGCTTCAGAAATTTTTATTAAATAGTCTAGTGTTTTACATGCAAGTTTAATTTTTTCTCTCATTCTTATTTCCATGGATACTAAGGATTTCTAAGCCCTAGTCCTTGCAAGTAAAAAATAAAGAGCAATTCTGTCTTTATCTAGGTTTGTCCTTTGTCTATCCATCAAGTTCAGACTTGGAATTATATGTGACACGCTTGAAAACCAGTTTGACTTAGGTGTTTAGTTTTCAGTGTAGACCAAAAATCACTCAACTTGTTTTTTTTTTTTTGATATGAAGCCCTTTGTGAAATTGATGCTGCAGACCCTCTCCATGGACAAATGTGCATGTGCACACACACATTAGGCATGAAATGTAATTTCAGGGGATCCACAGACTTCCTGAACCCTATCCATGGAACTCCTTATAGAGAGGCAAAGTATTTAATCATATTACATGTGCATTCAGGTCAAATCCACTGTCAGGATGTACTGATACAAGTGAAATCAGGCTCATGTGAATAGAAAGTGGTATATTTTTATCCAAAGTTTTTGCTTTGCTGTGATTTTTCTGGCTAGTTTTCCCTTACTTAACAAGCGTAACGTATAACTTGGCCTTTTATTAATCTGTGTGTTACGGAAAGACGTTTTTACTCCAGGGTCTCATTCCACTGCATCATTATTTCAGTTTGTATGTGGGTGATTCCCATCCAGGAAAGACTAGCACAATAAACACACGATCTAGACATTTACTTTTGTGAGAGAATACATTTTCTCCTTGTTGACAGAGCTGGGTTAGTGTTTTCTGTAACTTGCAATGAAAACCGGATCAGAGATTTCTGGGTAGTAAGATATCAGACGATTGGACCTTTAGACACAATTTTTAAAAAAGCAGTGAATTAATAATATTCCTAATTAAATTAATTCTAGGTATGCCCCCTGTTATGGTTAACTGCATTTTGTTTGTTTGTTTTAGGATGAGGAATTAAATAGTAATATTAGGGTGTCTTTCACTGAACAGAATAGAATTTGGAGAACACAGTGGACCAAGCCCCAGGCTTACTTGCTTGGATCTGCTCCTTTGAAGTAGGCGTTGACCGTTTCTGTAAATGCTGCTGCAACAGGGAGGGTGTCCTGGGCTCCCATGGTTAGGGGGCTGGGTCCCCGGGAAGAACCTACATGAAATGAAAAACCTTCATTTAATGTGGGTTGGAGACATCTTAGTATACGTGGAACTAAAAGCTCATTCAAAAGTTAAAGTCTGAAACCTAATTACTGGGGGAATAAAGTAATATGCTAAGAACCATAACTCTGTATATTCAACATAGAGCTCAAGTATTTAAAAGGAAATATTTGGCTGGTTTACAGACAAACACACTTGAAAATAATCGATTACATGTTTTACTACAGAAAAAAAAATCCAAGCAGAAGTATAAAGTCATAAGGGTTTTCAGTGTTTTACCTGAAGCGTAAGGCAGTATTTGCATGACAGTTTGTACAGCAGGTAGTTAGTAAAGAAAATTATTAGCTTCCTGTTTGAACATTCACCTTATACAATTGTCTATACACTCAAAACTGTTTGCATTTCTTCATTTTAAACAGACAAACATTAACCCCCTCACGGGATACCATGTTACACATTGTCCTCTCCTGGATTGCTTCCATTTCAAAAAGTCCAATTACCCTCCGACAAAGGAGGCTCAAGTGTACATGTCCCCAAACATATACAACCCAAACGTACACCTTGACTTAGTACAAACACATAAATGCATCAATTCGCCTAATTAAAAATAACTGCAGTATACCAGGGACTACACTGAATACCTTACAAGAGTTATAGCACCCCCCTCCATCAGCCCTGTGGGATAAGCATTATTATTTCTGTTTTATAGAAACAGAACTGACGATCAACGAGGTAAGT